ATCTGCACAGCATTCAAATATATTCATCAAATCTTCCAGGATAACCGAGTAAGCAGGACGGCTACAGCACTGACTCCAGAGAGCTGGCAGCCACGCAAAAAGCACTTTATGTATGGTAGGTGAAAGACTCTACATTGGACGCACAAAAGAGACAAAGACATGTTAAAAAGAGACAAGACTGAAGCGTCTCTCTCTCTTCCTTCCATGGAACCAACCCATGTCAAACCTGTACAACCTGCTACTGCAGTTTAACAGAATTCCACCCCCCCCTTCAAGGAGCATCATTTAAATTGACTGCATTTCTTCTCTTACTTACGAAAAGCCGGATGCCAAGTATTATTTTCTTGCCTTCTCTGGGTTTTTTTTTTGTCAACGTAAAAAAAATAAATAGTTGCTTTCTTGTGATCCTGACATAAACCCAAATAGTTATTTAACAGCAGCACTAATTAAAGTGTACCTTAGCCTTGGGAGTGCCATACTTTTGCCGTAGATTGGTATCAAACATAAAATACACAAATCATCATGAAGCTACTCGGTTCAGAATATATAAAGCAGTAATTGATGTCATCAAATGACATTAGCCCACATGTAAAAGTCAGCAGCTGTGGCGAATAAAAATCATAAACATGACACGTAAAAACATCAATAAGTTGTTGTATATATAAACTTATGTCTAATTTTATTTCAAACAGATGAGGAAAATAATGTGGGCTGAATCCAAGAAGCTAAAAGAATTTTAGAATTGTTGTCTGAGATGTCCGTCAATTGAAGGCACACCGCTCACGCTTCTGTATTGACAACTCTGTTGCTAGGCAGACACAAATAAAACATCTGTCTGTGATTGATATGATTTTATTGTTATTTTTGTCACAATGAACGCCCATTATATTTTGTTCTAACAGGTAACATTTTGGAAAGGAAACCTCAGAACTTAGAAACAAGAATGACATTATACAGCTTTTGCTCATAACAGACTGAAATGAAAAACAATTCATTATTATTATTATTATTCATTACTAGTTGTTTTCAGGTAGAAAGAAAAATTAAGTCGTGATCATGAGAAAACAATTTTGTTATGTCAAGATCAAAAGAAAATTGTCATGATCGTGAGTAACGAGTAAAGTCACATGAGTCCAAATTTCAAAAGATTTTAAGAATAGTTTTTTTGTATAAATTTGCCACTTTGTGTATTCATACAAAATTGCCACCTCGTAAAGTAGTTGTCTCATGCGATTGGGTTGAATTAGTTTTTTCTCTGTCAAGCAAAGGACAGGGTCTAAACTGAAAGAAATTGAGGTCTTTCTTTTTATTTATTTTTTGCAGTTCTAATATGGATAGTAGTGAGAAAGTAAAATATATAGCAACAAAGGGGTGAATAGGAATGTTGCAAGCTGGATTTGAACTCCCATTCCCCACATGAGAACCAAGGCTCAGTATGTCATGGAAATTACTACCAGGTATCTTTTTGAATAAGAATAGTGCTAAAACACTAGCGAAAGCTCTGACAGAATCCATTTGGAATGGTGTGTAAAGAGCAAAGACACTACAATGAATTTAATTTCTAAAATCACAACTGAACCTTTCTCTTACCAATTATCATCGGCCAATGGATGCCTAAAGTATGGGACATAAACCCCCGGTTCCACAGACCAGGCTTAAGCTAGTCCCAGACTACAATGCATGTTTGAGCTGTCTCAACTGAAAATATCTTGCTCTGACATATCTTAAAATATGTCAGTTTCATTGTTCTGTGTCAAGATGCACACCTGTAATGTTTTCTTCTAAGGCATTTTTGTAAAAGTTGCTTAAATATCTTAATTTAACTAAGGTCTAGTCCTGGCTCAAGCTAAGCCCCGTTTGTGAAACCGGGCCTAAGTGTGAATCAATTTACTCAACTTTCGCATATACGGCAGAGCATCACTTTCACAAATTCTTGCCTTTCACTAGTGTTCTCTGATGTAATCCCTAGTATGTGGTCCCAAAACCATCGACAGGCTTAGTCTTACAGTGCATGTTTACATTTGATTCATCATGATCTCCAATGGGGCTTTTTCTCACAGTCCCAGATGCCTACTCTCTATCACTCAATTTCCTCTCCAGACATTCATACACCCTAGATCCTGACCAACATGCTTGTGGTTGCTAACATGTGGCCCACGTAACATATGTAGCCATTCCACAGCATATCAATTCACCTGGCAACAGTCGTCGAAAGCCAATGAAAACAGTGAAATCACCACTCACAGATCTCATAAATCACTGATTTGGAACATTTTACATAAACACAAACTCCACAAACCGCAAGAACAGTGGAAAACTTGACTCATCTGAATTCAACAGCGTTCTTTGCTAGCATCGCTAAGCTAACATGGTGATACTCTAATAAGCATAACAATATGTAGTACAAATAAATAACACAGTCAATGCTGAATTGCACTAAATAATTTGTATTGATAATTTCCACTACTGAATGAATTCTAAATATACAGTATTTGTAATCAACAATTATCAGGAATTGGATGTCCGCCATATTGAATATTTTTGCCACAATGCTTTCTGAGATTGCCTTCTGTGTGAAGAACATGTGATGCTGCTTTAGAGTTTGGCTTGACAGGTAGCATAATTCATTTTCATATTTTAAGGACTAGGCCTATGTTCACCTATAGGTCTACAGCTCATTAAAAAAAAAAATTTAGTAATAAAAAAAATCTGTCAACATTTTCTTACTCTCATGTTGTTCCAAACCTATAAGACTTCATCTTGGGAACCCAAATAACAATAATTTGAATATTTTAAATGCACATAAATAGAGCTTATCAAACAACTCAATCAAACTTTCTTAACTCGCAATGACCAATGAGGGTTGTATTCGCAAGTCAAGCAAGCATCCGAGTTTACCATATTTGATAAGCTCCATGTATGTGCACAGATAAATTGTTATATATGAGTAAAAGCCCAAATTAAACGTGTTGCTTAAAGTGATTGTGTCTCTTCAGAATACTTGGATTCAACTGCTTAATTCATATGGATTACTTTCATGATGGCTTTGTGAACTTTTTGAAGCATGAAAGTTTTGGTGAAATTTCAATGGATGGACAAAATAGTTGAAAGAATATATTAATAATATATGAATAATTCATTTGTGTTTTGAAGATGAGTGAAAGTATTGTGGGTTTGGAATGACACGATGGCAAGTAAATGATGACAGACTTTTCATTTTCGGGTAAGCTATCGCTTTAAAAGGCTGTATAGTATTTTAGAACAAATCATCAGTCTCTATATCTGCCAGTGGGCACCTTTAAAAATGCCCTCCGAATAGACCTTTAGCCAGAAAACTGAACTTAAATTCTTCCATATGGCTAAGAAAACAACGCAGTTATACGCCGCATGTGGAAAGAATCCGTCGCACATGTCTAAGTCCAAACTAAAACGACTAACACCGGATGATCAACAGGAAATGTATACAACGAGTGACAATTTTGAAGTCTGGATTTACAGACGCACTACACCTGACCTCCACGCCCCCAGGTGCTGAGATGCACAAAAACAGGTCAACCCTAAAATCTAGCCCTAAGGACGACAGAACTACTCGTGTAGATCAGTAAGTCATCGTTCCTCACACAGAGTGCGGGGTCTGAAGCACAAAGAACCCACTGCAGTGCTATTTTAAAGCAGTGAGCTCACCAAACAGACTTGTCATGTTTTGCAGGCCCTCTTGAAGCTTCACAGCCAGTGTTGAGAAAATTCCCAGTCTTATGTTCACAGAGAAATTAAAATACAATGTAAATCTCAAAACATTCTATATTCTATTGTTTGTTTATTGTTTGCACGTTAAAGAATTTAGTGGCTGATCATTGAATATTCTATTGGGATAAAGTCAAATGGGGAGCATTTAGAGAAGAGTACTTCAACAAGTGTTCTGAAGGAAACGTCTGGAGTCATTTTTTTTCTCTTGGCACCACTGTTGCAGTCCGTCACATTTGTTACATGAAATTCTCCTCTGATTGCTCACCGTAACCTTACACGTCCTGAAAAACCTGTTCAATCTCTGCACGGCGAAACTGAGGGACACGCGTGATGACTGAACCAAGATGCACGAGATCTGAAATGAATTAAAAGACTGTTTCTGATGAATGGGATTATTACACTCCCTCTGACAGCTGTAACCGAATCATACTGATCGTTTTACGCACAACGCTAGCCATTATAATTCAAGACAGAAAAAACACTAAGCAGTCTAATTTAGTCATGAATAGGCTGGGCTTTATGATATTATTTTTACAGGCTTAAAGCTAATTAGCCTACATAAAAAACAAAGACGCTGCCAATATTACATGAATTCTTAACAATCTTTTTTTTTTCTTGACACACATTTATACACTTTCAACTTTTTGGAGCATGATTTAAACGTCTTGAAGTTCATTCTAGAATCATAAACTGTGGTTTTAAATGCTTTTATGGATTGCACATCATAGAGTTGCCCTGTTTTTAATAACTAAATGAAACATAATTATGCATTTGAAGACAAAATGGTTTTGGACAGCTTAGATCAAGTCGTGCAGAATGGAATGATTTCCATTTATTTACAAAGATCTGGGTACATTTTTACTTTTGATCATTCTATTACATATTATATATTAATTGCATATATTAAAACATAAAAAAAACTTTAAATGCATTAAATTAATATATTGACGGTACACACATACTTGTCAGTTTAGTTAAAAATTCTTATTTGTTCTCCATTAGAAAATATTTGGAGATGTGATTAGGCTACAAACTTTCTCATACTCATACAGTATTCATATTCCACTGGTGCAAGTTTGTATTGAAATATCAGCAATAAGTTTACATCTGTAAAGCCAGGTGTGTGAGTGTGCGATGCAGCATCACTGAAGCAGCTCCGAAAAAAATGCCAAAAATGAGAATTATGTAAAAACTGCAGCGCGAGCGCAATGACCGCAAGAAACAAATGCGCGGAATAAGAGTTGTGCACTTACCTTAAAAGCAAGCCTCTGCTCTATAGTGGGCAAAAAGGGAATTCAGGCTTTATCTCATGAGCTCATTTACAAATGCAAACCACGCTGATGTTTTTGAAGAAATATTTCTCCTGATTTGACAGTAAACCTGGAATGTGAAGTATGGCTTCGGTATGAAATCACGGCGAACCCGAGCGGAGCGCTGGAGGAGGAGTCATGAAGGAGGAGGGCGTCAAATCTCCACCCCACTCCAACTTCACGAGCAAATCTCACGCGTGGGGATCAGTCGAGATGCGCTCATTGGCTATGTAGACTGCATTTTTGGGTATGACTGGTACTTTCCTAACTGACTCTAACTGGGCATCATAAAAGTGATAAATAAATAGCACATTTTATTTGGCTTCATCTCTTTTAGGCTCCACTTATAGCCTAACTAATGGATAAATTATCCAACTTGATAAACGCAATATTATATTATTATTATTATTATTATTTTTACAGTAGCTTTGAAATGCATAATGCTCAAAGGAAGAATTTAGAGTGTCAGACTCGAGTATTTGGCCACAGTTGAAGAATGCACATGTAGAAAAAAATGTACATTTTCACTTTATATTACAAAATTAATACTGGAGAGGACGTGTTGAGGACTAAACATATTCAAACAAGTGAGAAGGCCCATGCAAGTGTGTGAATTCTCACAGCAGTCTGTTTTATATATATAAATATTTGAGTCCTTAAAGCCTTGTTGAAACAGCACCACCCTAAGGACAACTTATTCATCATGAAGTAGTTTAATGTTTGTGTGGACGATTTTGTTGTCGTTTGCAGCTGCACATTTACCCTCCAGCATGTTTCCAAAAAAAAAAAAACACACACACACAAGGAAACAGTGGTATTTATTAATATTTATTTTTGATTATTTTGGAGATCTCTGATAATTCTTCAAAAGTGGGCAAAATATGATATTTTAGACAGGTATGTGTCATGATGTGTTATATCTTTCATGCATTCATAAAAACGTTTTTTACAATTTATAAAGAAGCACATATCCTTGATTGATCCTTGCATGGACAGAATAAATTAAGTAATATAGAGAGAATAAATAAATAAATAATATAATAAATAATTATTAATGAACAAAACAAATCACTTTGTTTTAAGAGAAGGATATATAAAGGCATGCACATTTGAACAAAAATAGTTCAACAAAAACAGTTTGGTACTATAATTTGAGTAAACACTCTAAGCCATTTTTACACAACATTTTTAAAAATGACTTTTAAAATGCACACGCATGTATATTTGCTCATGTTTTGCATCTAAGATATTTGAGAGAAAAAATATACATTGCACTGATCATTTACCTTTATTATAATAATAAAAAAAATCTTCATAAATCTCAATACAACAGAAAACATAATCAAACAGTTTCCAGTCACTTTCAGTCATTTTATGTAGCTTGCATTACATACATGCATGCACATATCAATGCAGCACACGTGTATGCAACACCCAGCTTTGGTATCCGTTTCTGTTCTGTATCCAGGATAAGTGTATCCTAATCACATTCAGGCACAGTGGAAATCATAAAAAAACGACCCACTTTATCAAATAGCACATCTTCCTTCATCTTCCTTCCAGATGATGAAGATATCCTGTGTCGATTGCAAAGATTTGACTCTTTTGAGCCTTGTGTTCATCTCGCAGGCCAGTTTGCCATCAAAACTGGACAGAGCGATGGCAAAGGCTTGCACCGCACACATGGGGTAATTATAATCCAGAGTGAACATATCGTCTGCTACCCTTCCAAACTGCATCACAATGTAGCTATCTGAAATAAAAGCATTTACATTCAGGATAGTTTTTATATTCATGCCATAGTAACATCTGAGCACAATTTCAGCACAATATGGAATTATCAATGCAACATATGCTAGGAAAAGTCCAGTTTCATACTTGTGCCATTTTATTCTATTGTAAAGTTGTAATGTTTTTGCGGTATCCCAGTTGAAGAGGTATATATTTGTCAGTATCACCAGTATCCCTCACTGTCTTTGCTGTGGACGATCTGGAAGTTCTTGACAGAGGCCTGTGTGACCCGACCAGAGAAGTTGAGGACATAGGAAGCGGTGTCATCATTCCAAACTGGAGTTTTGTTGTGGAGTTCAATCAGGTTGTCCATCTGCCTGTTTTGGTAGCGCATAAGTATATTGTCGTTGTCCTAACGGTAAAATAACAGAGTTGTTGTGGATGAATGATTTGGTCGTTGCAGTGAGTATTGTAATTGAGTTTCTAAGTTAGCTGAACTGCCTAACTAGCCATCATTTTTGGGACATCATGGGTTATAGTAAGGGGCCGTTCACAGAGAACGCATTTTTGCATGTAAATACATTTCTTTTCCATTGTTTTTCTATGCAAATATGCACATATTTGACCACTGCGTGCGCATCTTTTGCAACATCTCACGAATGAGTGACACATTCTAAAAATGTGGCGCTTACTTTAAAAGACGTTAAATATAGTTAAAGTTGCTTTTTCATTCAACTGCCCTGCGTCTCACATGCTTACACACATTCTGTGTGTATTTGCTAAAGCAACCATGCCATTTTAGCTTGATTCCCCAAATCTTCAAGCTATTGTACTGTGACATGTTTGACAGGTCTTATACTCGAGTGTTTCATATCGCAATGCTGTACCAGGTGTGCTACCGAGCACGTTTACCACATAAGAAAAGCCAAACATATGGAGTTGGTTATGTGATGCCAACATCACATTTTTTAGTTTACAAATCATGTGCCATGGTAAAAGTATTTTGAGGTCATAATACAGTGTTGTGCAATGAAACATGAGTCTTTATTAATCGATAATCTGCCCCTGTAACAATGATTTGTGTGAAAAAGAATAAAAGTGGTTGGTGTTTTACTGCCACTATAGTGTTCATTTCAGCTGGAAACTGCAGTGAGTTTTGGAGCACATTTTTCCAATGAGCCGATGTTGTGAATTTATTTTCTTGCCTTTGTTGTTGCATGTCAGAGTTAGATATAGCAATACGTTAGTAACTGAACTCACCTTTCGTGGACATATCGGCACTTGCTTATTGTCGTCATCCATGCCTGGGATGATCACAGTCATTTTTCTGAGCCCTTTAAACCCCAACACAGTTGTCTCCTGGACAGAAACACCCATATCTGCTTTAAAACTTCTGACAGATTTTTTAACCTCCAGGATGACTGTTGTGGAAATGAAGTTAGCACTTACGTAAATGATAGCTGCTAGCTCTTGCTCATTAGACATGTCCCTGAGGGCACGATCAGGGTTGAGACCGTTGTCAAACACTGTGAACTTGGTACCCATGAGATTGGACCTAAAGAGATAACAAACCACAAATCAAAAAAGAAAGCGCAATGGCTCAGCAATCATGCATACATATTTTGGCACATTTTATATCATGCAAGTTACCTCAACTTTCCGATAAAATTTTCTCCACCCTATGACAGGTCAGTGGCATCTATGGATATCAAATAATTTGACGTTGCACTCTTTTTTCTTTTTCGACCAGCCAATAGGAAAACCTGCAGGATGGGGTGGAAGATTATCTCAAGCAAGTCATTAATTTGTGTTGGCGATTTATGAGAGCCGTGCATTTTAACTATCCTCTCATTCACTAGAAAACCTTGTAGAATTGTTCCGAAGTTCTACATGAGTTTGACTTAAAAGTGAGAGCACCTTCTTGTCATTGTCTAAATGGAGGTAATAGGTGGGGTAGGAGCCTCTGTCCATGCAACGCTTGTCTCGCATTACTTTACACTTGATGGTGATCCCCTGAGGTGCAGGCAGAAGAACAAACTCCTCAAGGTCATCAAACTCAATCTCTGGTGATGGAGGCCTCGCCTCCTGTCACAAAAAAGATAATACTGTTCAGATTATACATTCTTTCCCTCAGGATGACACTGGTTAAGTTTACAGGAGTCTTACCTTTTTACTTTTCCTCCCTTTGCCTTTCTCCTTTCTGGGCATTTCTGTATCCTCATCATCACTTTCATCTGATTTAGCAGTGTCTACAACGAGAAGCTTTAATGTTGATATACGAACAGTGTGATAAATTGAAAATGATTTGGTCTTTTGTTTGTTTTTTTGTAGTTACAATAAATTAGATTTTTTTTCACAGTCCAAAAAGACCATTTACGTACATTACATGGCCCTAAAAGCTTATTTCAAAACAATTACATTTCTGTCAGAAATAGATCATGACAGTGTTAAAGATACTGTTGTTGCATCCAGAAGATAACAATGTTATTAGTCTAGTTTGTGTATTACAATAAGCATAACATATGAATTAAGTCTAGAAATAAGTTATGCTGTGTCTGGCTGTGGGGAAGCACATGTGCTTAGAGTTCTTGAGCTTTTGTCCAAATGTTTCTAACAAACGATTAAAGTTTTCTGTGCGAAGAGGGCGTTTAAGCTTATAGTCTTTCATTTACTCTTTTTCTTGTTGTTCTTCTCTTTGTCCTTATTACTCTTGTCTTTGTCTCCTCCAGCCTGAAACATGGAGGTGGAGTTGGCAGTGGATTTCTTTTTGCTCTCGCTGGGTTTAGTCTCTGGCTCACTCTCATCACTGTCTGACTTGTGGGCTGGAGCAGATGCTTACAAGATTCAGTCAACAAATTTCACAATTACACTATTTATTAATAAATATCCTTCAAAACACTATGTACAAGTATGCATTATACTACACTAATTCACTTTTTTACATTACACTACTGTTGTTCAGGTCATATTTAACTCCAAAATAAAAAAAAATAAAAAAGTAAAGTTTTTGTACCTGTAGATTTGTGTGTGTGTATTCCATTAATAACTATTTTTCATTATTAATTCTTCTTTTATCATTTTCATTTTCTTCTTAATTTTTTTCCCAGGCAAAAAAAAAAAAAATCATAATTATATCACAAATTTGCGTAAAAAAAATATTTTTTTAATTTAATTGAATTTTGATTTTGAGGCAAAATATGACCCAGGCATGTTCTTGGCAGTCTTTGTGAGATTCACAATAGTTGTCTTTAGCAATACTATCATTAATGTACAGTGTTTTAAGAAAAGTCAAATTACCTTTCTTTTTTTGTGATGAAATCTGGTTTATTTCCATTTATCTGAAACATAGAAGCTGGCTCCTTTTTAG